CCCCCTCCCCTTCCCCTTCCCCCTCCTCCTTTCTTCCTTTTTTTCTTTTTTTCTTCCGTTTTTGTCATTTTTCAGTGTAAAGGTTTTGTATGCCATTTACTAAATTTACTCCTTAGTATTTTGTGGGTTTTGGGGTGCTACTTTAAATGGAATATTAAAAAACATACTTGCCAATTGTTTTCATTTCTTATAGGTGTTTGCTTATTAACCTTGTCTCACGCCACCTTGCAAAATTCACTTGTACAATATAGTAGTTGTTTTATAGGTTAATTAGGATTTCCTATGCAAACTATCATTTTATTTGTAAATAAAGACAGTGTTACTTCTTTTTCCTTTAGATTTATTATTGTTTTATTAAAGATTTTTGTATTTATGTTCATGAGTTATCTTCTTTTTGTAATGTCTTGCTCAGTTTTTGATATTTGAGTTATACTGCCTTGTAAAATGAGTGAGTAAATATTTCCTTCTTTTATATTTCCTGAAAACATTTTTAATGATTAGTTTAAAAAATGTTTGATAGAATTCAGCAGTGAAAATACCTGGTCCTGTAGTGTTCTTTGTGTTCAGGCTTTCAATAAAAAATTATATTTCCTGAATAGGTGTGGGAATATTTGGATTTCCATTTTCATTTTGTTCAGTTTTAGTAAGTTTTCTTTCTCAAGAGACTCACACAGTGCATCTAAATTGTCCAGTTTTTTTGGAATAAAGTTGTTCTGATATTATTATTCTTTTGGTATCTGTAAGATTTGTAGTGGTAATCTCTTTTCTGGTATTGCCGAATGCCGTGTGTTCTGTCTTTCAAAATGTTTCCTAATTTCCCTCTTTCTTTTTGATCCATGAATTACATAACAGTGGGTTGTTAGGTTTCCAGATATTTGAGATTTATCTTGATATCTTATCAATTTCTCATTTAATTCCATTTTGATCAAAGACATACTTACTCTGTATATTTTAAGCCCTTCTAAATTTATTCATCATACTGTCTAGTTTTGTGAAATGTATTATGTGCATTTAAAAGAATGAATATTCTGTAGATGTTGCATGTAATGTTTTATAATTAAGTAAAAGTAAGTGATAATGTTGTTCAGATAATCTCTGCCAGGGGGTTGGCAAGTGTTTTCTTGTAAAGGACTAAAAAATAAATATTTTAGACTTTGTGAGCCACGCAATATCTGTCCAATCATGCAACTCTGCCATTGTAGGCAGTAGCAGCTTTAGACAATACATAAATTAATGGCTTGGGCTGTGTTCTGATAAGACTTCGTTTACAAAAACAGGTGGCCAGGTAATGAGCTATAGTTCGTCAACCCCTGTTCTATGTTTTTACCTTATTTTTTTCCTTTTCTTTTTTGGTCTAGTTCTATTATCTGCTAAAAAAAATAACGTTAAAATCTCCAACTGTGTTTGTGGAATTCTTTCTTCTCTTTTTTTCTTTCAAGTTTCACTCCATGTAATTTGAAGCATTATTGCTAGGAACATATCCGTTTATAATTGTTTTCTTTTTGGTTTGATTCATTTATTCTTCTGTAGTTTCCCATTTATCTCTTTTTCTCAATATTTCCTTTATCTGAAATTAACATTGTTTCTTTGGTGTTTTTATGCTTACTGTTTGCAGGAAACTTTCCCATTTATCTCTTTTTCTCAATATTTCCTTTATCTGAAATTAACATTGTTTCTTTGGTCTTTTTATGCTTACTATTTGCAGGAAACATATGTTTCCATCTACGTAGGAGGCTTTTTGTTTCCTGAATAAAGTACTCTTTAATTGGAGAATTTAGTTCCTGATATTTAATGTAATTATTGATATGACTGTATTTGGGCCTACCATTTTACAATGAATAAAGTACTCTTTAATTGGAGAATTTAGTTCCTGATATTTAATGTAATTATTGATATGAATGTATTTGGGCCTACCGTTTTACTATTTTTTTTTCTCTTTTCCTTTCTGTTTGTTGTTGCTCTGTCCCTTCTGTCTTCCCTCTTTCATAATCTGAGTATATTTTTTAGAATTTCATTTTAAATTAGCTATTATCATTGTAGCTATATATTCCTTGCATTATTTTTTAATGGTTCCTCTAGTTATTATGTTATAAGTCTTTAATTTTTCACAATTTACTTAAAATTAATATTGTATTCCTTCCCATGAAGCACAGAAACATTGCGGTTTTATAGATTTATTTAAACCACTCTCATCCTTCATGCACTGGCTGTCATATGTATTATATCTACGTACATGATAAACTACAATTTGTAACATTAAGACATTTGCTTTGAACAGCCGTATGAATGTTAAAGATGTTAAAAGAACAAATACTGTTTTATATTTACTAATATAATTACCTTTTTCTTTGCTCTTTATTTCTTCCAAAGGTTGGAGTTTCTATCTGGTATCCTTTCCCTTTTTACAGGAGAGAAAATCTACGGTAGCATTTCTTGTA